TGATGTAAAGCTGTGTGTCGTCTGCATAGTTATGGTAGCTGATGTTGTTTTTTATTAACTGAAAAAAGAGTTAGCATGTAGATATTGAATAGGAGGGGACCCAGAGAAGAAGAGAAGTACGGAAAATGTGCATGTTGTGTTCCAAGAAATGCAGCTCACGTTAGAGCAGCCTGTAAATAAACATTGGTCATCAGGATGCTTCTGTCTTTAAGGAGGTGATTGCTTTTTCGCTGGTAGCTAAACTGTTTTTAAGTCTATTTGATCTAAACATTATATGTTTGAATCCTTTTCCTGAAGGGAAGTGGGACAAACACAAAAAGCCTGGGTGGTTAGGTTCTGAGGAACAGCGTTCATCCCTTCTATGGACTCGTACAACACAAACTATATAAATTTGGCTGATGGCAGATCATTAGTCTGGTCTGTTCACCTGAGGTTTAAGTTCTGCAATGACCGTGCTTTTAACTGTACACTAATTATTTTGAAGATCATTTCTGGTTATTTTGTTTAAAAACACATATAAAAGCAATTCTATATTATTTTTGTTGCTTTAGATCTGAACAAAGATTGATTAATGACTTTTTTTTTTATGTTCAGATGTTAAACAAAATATTTTATGTCATACCTTTGTTCTAAATCTGTGATCTAAATCTTTTTTTTCCACTTTTTTTGTTGTTGTTGTGTTCAAGCAAAAAAAAAAAAAAAAGGCCACATTAAAACAAACTTTTAATGGATTTAAAAAAAAAACTCAACAACAACACAATTAGCATCAAAATATACATAACAGACAAAAGGTAATGAAATTAAATAACTATTTGTCAAAACTGATAATTACTTTTTACTTTAGGTTTATTTCTGCATAATTGTATATGGAGGAAAATTTGTTCCATTAATGTGCAAATAACCTTTTTATAAGTTAAGAAACTTTGAACTGTTTAATTAACAAAAAAAGGTTTGGAGAGTAATTTAGTAGCTGTTTTCTCAGATTTTTATACTTTGTTTTACTGTTTATTTTTTTTATTTATATTTTCTTTTTTTTTAATCTAATTTCATTCTTTTAAAATTTCATTCTCTTAACCTTAAACCCAAAGCAAAGTGTGGTTGTTGAGTGATAAAAATGCTGTTTCTAACGTCCAGCAGACCAATAACATTGCGCCTTCGCTCCTCGCTTCACAGGAAAGCCCCGCCCCCAGAGGGGAAGAAATTGATCCAGAAAATGCAATTTGAAAAGAATGAAATTTATAAAACTCAATCTGAAAAACAGAAACAATAATAAATTTGAAAGTATGAAATATAAAAACAAATTGGACTGCAAGATGAAACATTAAAAAATAAAATATCGAGAAAAATTAAAAGTTTAATATATTGGTAATGTGTTTGTATTTGCTTTAAACATTCTTTATTTGTATAGTCCACTAATTTATAATATCTTAATAATATTAAATTAAGAACTAGTGTATTTGTAGCCTCTCTATAGTGTTTTAATTTAGTAGTAAAACTAGTAAAAACTGACATAAAATCCTCCAAGAAGACTGATTCAATCCAGGTTTACCTGGGTTTTATAATATGAGTAGTAATGAAAAGCCTCTTCTGTCCAGGTCATATGTTTATAGCTTTTTTTTAATTCTTCAGATGTGTCTGCAAACTAATGGCCTCCAAGACTCGTGTTGTGGTCACCAGCAAATTGGAGCATCTGAAACGTGCCGACAGAATCCTTCTGTTGCACAATGGAGACTGCTACTTCTACGGCACCTTTTCCGAGCTGCAAGCACAGCGGCCAGACTTCAGCTCCCTCCTGCTCGGACTTGAAGCCTACGACAACATCAACGCGGAGCGGCGCAGTTCTATCCTCACAGAGACTCTTCGCCGCGTCTCAGTAGATGAAACTGCTGGTTTCCGTGGCACGGACCCCAACCGCCAGTCCTTCCGCCATGCGCCGCCTCATAGCCATACTGTGGGTGATGGCTATCCTGAAAAACGCAAGCCGTCGCTCATCCTCAACCCTCTTGCAGCTGCCCGCAAATTCTCCTTCATCGGGAACTCCCAGCAGACAAATAACTACCAGTCCGCGACTATGGAAGATGGAGTCCATGACCTTTCAGAGAGAAGGTTTTCTGTAGTACCTGAGGATGATCAGGTAGAAGAGGCGCTTCCACGGGGTAACATGTATCACCATGGCTTACAGCACCTCAATGACAGACGCCAGTCTGTTCTGGCATTTATCACCAATGCCCAAGGTCATGAGCGCAGGGAGCAGATGCAGTCATCCTTTAGGAAGAAGCTGTCCATCACCCCACAGTGTAACCTGGCATCAGAACTCGACATCTACGCCCGCCGCTTGTCCAAGGACAGTGTTTTCGATATCAGCGAGGAAGTGGATGAAGAAGACATGGAGGTAAGATTTAATCTTATGATCACACAAATGCCTCCCCTCAGTTCATCATTACATCATGTTTTCAAATTGATTTGAAACAAATAGATTTTGGCCCAATCCTGTGAGTACTGTGGCTGACATGTGCAACACACTGCAAATACAAAAGTGTAGTGCAAACACTATAATGAGGCTAACAAATCAAATTCGTTCACAGAAATAAAGCTGTGATATGGATGTGCTGCAATCACAGCAAGGAGCAAATGCACTGCAAACACAAAACCTGCTGCAAACACATAAATGATGCAAACTCACAAAATGGATGCATAAAGGAAATGCTGCAATTAGTTAAAAGAAATATGTTAGGAAATAAGCAAAGAAGCCAAATATTCTGCTTCATAAAGATGAATTTGTAATAATGTCTTTGGTTTCATCCCACTTAGTGGAGTGGAGCTTGCAGCTCCTCCTAACATCTCGCCGTTGTTTTTGCTTCTTGCAACATTTCCCATGTTTTTTTGTGTGTTTGCATCATTTATGTGTTTACAGTTGATTCAGTGTTTGAAGCATCGCCCCCTCAGCAAATTTCTGTGCATTGTGTTTTGTGTGTAAGCCCCATTTGTTGTGGTTTACACAACGGTGTGCATGTGCTGTGTGTTGCATTGCATTTTCACTTTTCGGGCTCCATAGTTTACAGAAAAATTTCTTGTTTTTAGAAGATTAACAGTTGATATCTACAATTTCCCCCCCAAAATCCAAATATAAAAATCATACATGTTTTACTAATACTCATGCATGTTAAGTATGTGTGATAAAAAAGATTCTTACTGTTCAACAGGAGTGCTTTGCAGATGAACGTGAGGACATTTTTGAAACTACCTCATGGAGTACCTACCTACGCTATGTTTCCACCAACAGGAGTTTAATCTATGTCTTAATTTTTATTGTGATTGTTTTCGCCATTGAGGTAAAATGCTCCCCTTTATTAAAGATTTTTTTTTAGAATTTCGTCATTTTAATTTTTCTAAATTTCTCTCTTTTTTTTACTATTAGGTTGCTGGTTGTGTCATTGGGATTTTTCTCATAACAGAGTGAGTATCATGTTGTGTTTCTCATGGAAATGTGGTTCCATTATTGTTGCAATCAATGAGCATGTTTTGAGAATGAAAAATAAAAAAAAGACAACCCAGAAAAAAACTTTGAAAAACCTCTTAAATAAAAGAAAATAAAATAAAATAAAAATATTAGCTTGCTATTTTCTAAGATATTCTTTTGAAACTTGTATTTTTGTTTTCCAATTTAATTTTTTCCTCTTGATCGGGAAAAAAAATATGCATTTTTATTGGTCTGCGTGGACACTGGGTTTCAAGTAAAAAGAATGTAATCGATAAAACGCACCTTGAAAATGATGCATTGTGTGCATGCAGGGGTCGCAGTGGTTAGCGTACAAGATCCACGTCTTAATGAAGAGGCTTTTTGTATATTAATTTAAACCTTTTTTTCTCACCCCCCTAATTTACTTCATAGTTTCTATAAATATTAATTGCATTACATGGGTTCAAGAGAGGATTTGGCAAAATGAATAAACTACATAACTATATTTAAAGCTTTAATCCTCACCACATTAGAATTAAATTTAGATTTCCAAACTTTGGCCAAAATCTGCACACTACATTCGCATGTAAGCTTTGAAGTAGTTAAATCTACAGTACAATAAAAGGTAGAGATCATTCCAAGATGTTCGATAACCTCCAAACCCCTAAAAGAGGAGAATTTAAGTCTGATTGTCTCTGCAGCAGAAATAACAGCAGGTGTTGTTGTTTTCTTTGGATTCTGCAGCTACTGAATTGGGAGGATAGCATCTATGGATCATCTTCACGGTTTCTCATTAGCTCTTTTTTGATCTTCATCTTTTTTCTTTGTTCCACCAGCGAGATCTGGAGGGACGGTGCAAACCCAAATTCACCCAACTACATCGATGAGCAACACCCAAACGCCTCATCAACCCCTGTCCACCTGGCAGTCATAGTTACACCAACCAGCACGTACTACATCATCTACATCTTCTTTGCTCACTCAGATAGTATACTGGCCCTCGGAGTCTTTAGGGGTCTTCCTTTAGTCCACACATTACTGACTGTGTCCAAACGGCTGCATGAACAGATGCTTAGCTCTGTGCTACGGGCCCCTATGTCTGTGCTCAACACCATGAAAACAGGTGCTCTCCTTTTGTCTGACGCTGCTTCTTCTCATTGAATTCTCCGAAATATTAATTAGTCCCCTCCTTATTTTTTGTATCTTCTTTATCCTCTCTAGGCCGGATTATGAACAGATTCACCAAAGATATGGCTGTGATTGACGACATGCTACCTCTTGTGCTTTTTGACCTCATACAGGTGATTGACATTCTTTAGCCTCTTTAATAAAACTTAAGCTGATATGTATATAGAGCCAGCTACCTGATATCTAGTCATTTAAAAAATCTGCATCAAGGTATTTTTAAAGAATAAAACCCAATCTAGCAAGGTTCCAATCACTGCCAGGCAGTGTTATCACGTGTCTTAGTAATTTAAACCTTTACGGTACGATTTGGTTTCTGTGTTAAATCACGTATCGCATTTATAAAGTTTCCTGGTGCACAGGCTTTACATCAGTTATTCAAATGTGTATTTTTTAAGCATCTGCTAAATTTTTTCATGTCAACTTTTGTCACTCTGAGGGGGGAACAATCAGAGAAATTAAACTGCCTGTGATTGGCTTATCTTCAGGAAATCCCTCCTCTTGAGCAAGTGCTGTTTATTTATTTTCCTAGTTGTAGCTAGTAACATTAGCAAATTGGTTAAATTAATCCCTTATTTGGTTAATTACAATTTTGTTCAATGCTCAAATGTTAAAATATTCTATGTCCTACCTTGTGTTCTAAATCTAAATCTTTTTTTTTACATTTTTATTTATTTACTTTTTTCATTTATTTTCTTTAAGCAAAAAAAAAAAAAACATTAAACATTCAAACTTTTTTTTATGTATTTTTAATGTTTATGTTGTAAAATAGTTTAAAACAGTCATGAATGTGTTCTGACAGCAGCAGAAATGTGCTCTAAAATAAATGTTTTATTTGTAACTCTGCAAAGATAAGTTAACTTTAGCTCTAGGCTTGAATGAATACAGAAATTTACAAATTTAGTTCATCAGGGGGTCAGGGTGGGTGTTTTTTAATGGGGGCACCAAACAAAAGAATGAATTTAAAATATTAAAAATATTGAGGAAAAAAAAGAGCAATTTGCAGGTCTGGAAACCTCAGATATAGCAGAGGAAAACTGTGATCATATCTTAATGGAACTTAAGCTGAAAGGGCAACAACTTAATTTTTCTGTCATCATTAAAATAAAACTGTAAAAAACAAAAAAAATGTAATTTTAAATCAGCAAATGTCATAATTTAGTATTCATACATTTATTTTGTTTTATATTTTTACTACAGGGGCCATAACGGGGGCCAGGACCAGTTCTTTAGGGGCCCTGGACCCTGTTGGCCCCCGTTTTAAACCGCCCATGTCCTCTGTTATGTGTTGTTTATAAAATTGTCAGTTGATGACAGAGATGGAAATGATGTCAGAATTCAACTCTTGAACAGGTTAGCAATTAGCCTTAAGACTGCACCAAGAAAATGTTTTGAGAGGCGGGATTTCCTGAAAAGGAGCCAATCACAGACAGTTTATTTTCTCTGGTTGGTTTCAGACTCAAAGTGACAAATGTTGACATGAGCACAAAGAAACAGGTCCAAACACTGGTAGGAGAAAATCTAGAGGCACATAAAAAAACGCAAGTGTGCAGAGAAGGAATTGTGTGCAACTTTGGCAAATTCTGACTTAATAATCATAATATAATTGAAATATTAATCTCCCACTGGAGAAATTCCCCTCTGCATTTTGACCCATCCCCCAGGGGAGCAGTGGGCTGCCACTGTGCGGCGCCCGGAGAGCAGTGTGGGGGTTAAATGTCAGGGACCCAGAGTACTTGCAACCTTCTTAGAGCACCAGTGCACTGCTTTAGCCCACTAGGCCAACACTCCACTTCATCTAGAACTGTGAAGATGTAATATTAAAGTAATTTGTTCATCACTTGGTGTCTATCCCATCTTTTTTCCTCACTCCAGTTAACTTTACTTGTCATCGGCTGCATCTTCACGGTGTCCATCATGAGACCATACATCTTCATATCTGCCATCCCGCTGGCTGTTATCTTTGTGGTCTTGAGGAAGTACTTTTTAAGAACCGGACAGCAACTGAAGCAGCTGGAGGCCGAAGGTGAGAAGAGAAGAGACGCTTGTCTTCATGGTTTAAGTTGCTAAATGAGCCGTTTCTTGTTTCCTGTACTTCGTACACTTTCGTTTTTCGTTTAACTGAGTGTTTAACTCAGCTGTGTTGAACCGTGGAAAGGTGCAGGACAACAAACCTGGACCTCTGGAATGGAGGAATCCTGCCCTAGGATATGAAAACAGTCCCCGGACCGCTGTGGATGCCCTCTGTTTATTAGATGTCTCTGCAGTGTGCTCAGTGCGTGCTTCTGTGATGACGCTGATGTCTTTCCGAAGCACACTGAGGTCATAGAGATGAGCTGAGCAGGGATTTCCTCCAGCCATATCCTGGTGTTGTTCTTTCTGCTGCTTTATGCAACATATCAGACAAAATGCAGTGGAAAGCAAACGTATTTGTCAGCGCTGGATGAGCTACATTCCTCAGTCTTACCCGTAGCTCACAGAGGGTGTAGTTTTTTTCCTATTTTTTTTGTATGGTGTTTTTGCTGTCCGTTGAGATCAGAATTTTAAAAACAGGAATAGAGAAGTTTCACATTAATAAGAAATCAGGCTGTTGGAGGCTTCCTGGTAGGATGAGTGACATCTGAGTTAAGGAGAGAGATAATGGATAAGGATCTAAACATCCTACTAAACACTCTTTCCATTGCACAGTACGCACCAAGTATAGATAGTTAATAAATGTCAACACTGTTGGTATATTAAACAATCCATGACAGACATTTAAGCACAGATGTACAGATTAGAGCCTGATTCAGATGCTCGTTTTTTGGTTTGGGATTTTAGTCAAAATCATTTCAAATTTTAAACATATGATTAGAAACCCAGGTTAAAAAAAATTTTTTTAATTGCACATTTTTAAATAATTATAAATTTGAATTGTATTTATTAAGCCGTTGTTACATTATGGTTGAATCTGATCTCTGAATGGAGAGTTAAAAACCAATGATTATAAATATCTTTCCTGAATTTATAATATTTATACCATTTTCCACTCATTTTCTATTTTCACCTTGCATTTTCCAGTCCCTTTTTCTAAATGTATTTGAGTTTTTCCATTTTATATTTCTGTGACCGAGCTACATGGAATGGGAAAAGTTGCCCATTTCCATTTAGCTTTTGTGACACCCTTGTTAAAAAGCTGTTAGTAACAGTAAATAATTGGTTAATAAACGGTTAATAGGTTGTTGCTCAACTGTTATAGGATAAAACTAAACCATTAGTAAATTGAGGCTAAACTGTTAAAAACTGTTTTGCTGATTAAATTGTTTAATAGCTTTTCTAATTATAAACATGTCTAAATGGCAACACAGTCATAAACGTTTTTCGTCATTCCACTGCAGATGTTACATTCATTTTATTTCCAACCCTGTTGGTCTGAACTGATTCATTAGATAATGGCTTAATTAAACAGAGCTGCCATTTTAATATCTGGGAATCTGTGAAAGTGTGAAGGTTGTGCTTGTATTAGGAAATCTATTATTACTCATTAAAGTGTTTTTTAGATTTTATTTGTGTTTAAGTACCGGTATGTTTTTTTTATCACACAGTCTGGTCTGATGCATTTGTTTTTTTGCAGTGAATTATTCAAAGTGACACGCCCCGCCTCTTTGTTCTTACGTCACTCTGCATGCTCTGATTTGATCTTTTAATTTTGATTGATGGCTGTTTTCTTTTTGAGCCACTAATTCATGAAATGAAGGTTAAGTTTTCTGTGCCTTTTAAAGAAAACAAAAAACTAAAAAGATTGTGATTGTTACTTATTACTGTGGATTTCATTCACATATTAAAACCTTCCATGTTTCTTCTTTCCCTGCAGCTCGTAGTCCCCTCTTCTCTCACCTCATCATCTCACTAAAGGGTTTATGGACGATCAGAGCATTCGGACGTCAAACTTACTTCGAGACACTTTTCCACAAAGCTCTCAACACCCATACAGCCACCTGGTTCCACTACCTGTCCACCTTGAGATGGTTCCTGTTCCGCTGCGATGTGATTTTCGTTCTGTTTTTCACCGCTGCTGCCTTCATTGCTGTGGGAACCAACCGTAAGTCAATGATGAAAAAACGGGACATTATCTTATGTGTAGACACAGACTTGCAGCTATCAGAAGAGTGGAGGAGAGGTGTAACTCATATCTCTTCTTACGGTAATAGTAGCTATTTGCATAACACAACATTTCCTTTTATCGATTGACACAGTGCGTCACCTGAAGTAAATCCTGTAAATCTTTCAGTCCAGCAGACATGAACTCAGCAGAGCTTTTTTTTTCCAGCCCCAGGATAATGTTAAAGAGACAGTGTGTCAGATTTACTGCCATCTAGTGGTACAATAAGTGTACCTCAAATGACTGTCGGGTTGCGTGGAGGTTTTTAGAGGACCCAAATGCAGGGACGGAAACTGATGTGGTTTCATGCAAATTTAATGACCATCTAAAGGTAACAGAAGCAAAGTCGAAAAACAAAATAATAGAAAACCATAAACCAGGAGACATCAGTGAAAACACAAATGAGGAGCAAAGAAACAACGACAAACCAACAAACAGAAACTGAAAAGGAGGAGTATAAATGGGAGGCTGAACGAAGACTGAGAAGGAGCAGATGTGGATGGAAGCATCTAGAAGGGAGCTAGGGTAGGGAGACTGACACAAGGGGGCAACAGAGTAGGAAGAGCAGTTAAGCTAGTTCTGCAAAGAAACAGAGCTACCTAGACAAAGCCAGATTGTGCAAATACTGAACAGATGTTCTAAGTGAGGTGGAGAGCATTAAACACTAAATAATAACAATGGTTATAGGTCTATTTGAGTGCAGGTGGAGCCTTCCATCTGTCATTACGTCATTTGCATTAAGACGTGATTATCGACCATGCGGTGATATCCCATACTTAATGTGTATTACAGAGTGAATTGAGTGAAAGAGAATTTAATAAGGATGTTTTTAATATTTAGCACACAAAGCTCATTAACCTTAACAAATGATGGTGAGACCAGCATTTGATTCTGAAACCAGCAACCTGCTGACCTGTGTTGTATGTTTGATTGAATGGACTTTGGAAAGTCTCTTAAGAAAAGTAAACAGACTTTATGTAACAGAACTTTTGATGAGTATCACCCCCCAGTAATAAAATTAAGATCACCTCAAACATTTAGATAGATGTAGAAAGTTGGTACGATGCATTTTTTTTTTATATGGATACAAACCAGCTAGTATATAGCTTAGAGAATAGACCGGTTGTATCTAGTTCTATATAGTGCAGTTTTGGTGTTATAACATTCAAATTGCCTTAAATGTGCTCAATTTCATGCTATAGGACCCAGTGCTGTGGTCAACAGATTGCCTCGGTCCCACCACAGGACACTTGATTACAGTCAGATGCTTTCAAATTGATGTCATCTGGGTGAACTCCATGAGAGAGTTGCATGCGTTTGTTGTTCACATATCACTGTTAATCTACAAAATAAACACAGAGCGCTCGTTTGCAACAATCAAGAAGGAACAGTAATTATTTCACTAAGTGCATCACCCATTCCTGACCATGCTTCAATCCGTTCGCAGCTCCTTGGTAACTGATACAAAGAAATTTTCTATACCTTACTAATAGCCCACTGCAAGGACATGGGGTTATTAGAGAGAGCATTAGATATCATTAAAAAAAACACATTTTACTAAGGGATTCAGGTATCAATTATCAATGGTACCTTCAGACCTTAAAATACAATTCTATAGTTTAGAGATTGGGTTTATGACATAATGTCAGGTATCTAGTCCTGATAAATACTCTTTGCATAATCAGTTTAGAAACGTAAATTTTATCTGTGTGCTCAGAATTCCAACAGAGCAGTATGTCTACATACTGTTGGACGGCCACTGGGTACGATGCAAAGGGAAGCACATGTTTGATTAAAGGAATGGGAAAGGCGAACGCACAATAAAACATGCTGCTGCGTCACAGATTGGGTTTATGTTAAGTGCAGGTTTAAGGGTAATTTCACAGCTCATTAGTTTCCAATGGAGCCAGTAGGAGAACTGTGATGCAGGAGTTCAGCTCTGACATCAGAGAGGTGAGCTTTCATTGGATGCTGTTGATGAAATTTAGTGTGTGTGTTTCACAGAGGACAGACCAGGCGAGATCGGCATCATCGTGGCCCTAGCTATGCTCATCCTGGGCACTTTCCAATGGGCCATCATCACGAGCATCAATGTGGACGGTCTGGTAAGTAGTTCTTAGTTATAGTTACCAGCACAGGTCAGGGAGTCTTCCACTCCTGGGAACTTCCAACACAACATGTAAACACATGTAAAACTGGATGTTTTATGTCTAATACGTCAGAATCCCTGGAACATAGTTTGAATCATGCTGGAGCATTTCAAGCTGATTATTTCTAATTTGATGTCTTTTTTTATCCAACCATGTCTTATTTTTTAATATTTGGGAGCTTCAGGTGTGACACAGAATGCTAATGCCTTTTTTCCATGGTTTTACTCTAACTGGCTCCACTCCACAAAGCGTTGAGAGCATTTCTTTACTTCCTTTACTGCACCAGAAAGACTGTTGTCATAATTTCTTATAAACTGGTGCAAACAAAGCAGGCATAATATAACGTGCTCCTTGTTTACATATGAAGCGAGGCAAAGCAACAGAGTTTTCACCCAGGAAATTTAGAGGAAAGATACCTTTAAGAGCGGCTACGTAAAAATGAAGGACCCCCATGAATACAGCAATCAAACCAAAATAAAATGTGTTAATACTAATTAATAAACCTAAAACCATGTCTGACAGAAAACAAGAAAAAGGCATGTTGCTATGTAGATTCAGTGGGTTCTTTCTGCCACTTACCCTATGCTGGTAGCCATTTCGCGTTTAGCTGCTCCCTTTGTCTTCCTCCTGCTGCACATCGGGGCTGAGACCCAAACATTATAGAGTTATCTCACCTACACCAAATGCTATTGATTTTGGTGAAGGTAAACAGAATTTAGTTCAAAAATGTATTCATGGATTATCATTGAACCACCATGTGCAGGACGGGGTAGATGCCCATAAGCAGACTGCCTCCACTGGTCCTAATAGAAGGAGAATCCAGCTAAACATACAATATAAAGATGAAATATGTAACCAAGAAAACTGCTTTTAAATAAGCTTTTTCAAGCATAGTTTTTGTCCTCACCCTGGCTTTGGTAAAGGATGTACTCATAAAGCCAAACTTTAGACCCCCCCTAAGGCAGTGTTTCCCAACCTTTTTTAAATTGTGTTCCCCTTTGATCATCCAAAAGTGGAACGTAAAACAGCTGACTATTTCAAGACTGATCTCTGTCTGTCATTTATCTCATCTGTGTGTGATTTTCCGTAACACTTATCCCAAGTGGGGTCGCGAGGGGTGCTGGTGCCCATCTCTAGCTGTCTATAGGCGTACATCCTGGACAGGTCACCATTCCATTTCAGGGCAACACCGACACCAACGGGACAAACAACCATTTACACTCACACCTAAGGAGAATTTAGAGAAGACAATTAACATAACAGTCATGTTTTTGGAATGTGGGAGGAAGCCAGAGTACCGGAAGAGAACCCACGCATGCTCAGGGAGAACATGCAAACTCCACATAGAAAGATCCCCGGCAGCCTATTGTATTCTTTCCATTTCAAATAGAAAACATAAATATGTTGAATGGAAGTTAGTAAGGAATCAAAATAAAATCATATTATAAACCTTTATTTATAAAACTGCAGTTTCTCGGAGTAACTCCCTTATAATCACATTTAAACTTGATGATTTGGGAACAAAATATCGAACAAAAAGTATAGGCAGACTGATGAGCTTTAAACAAATAAGAAAAACATATTTTCTGTTTGGAAAAAAAGCTTGTTTCATTTCTCAATTCGATCCACACAAAGCAAAACAGATCCCATCCCTGTTTTATTTTACTATCTAAGAAATAAAAATAATAAAATAATACATTTTCATATACCCCTTGCAATGCACTTGCTGACCACTAGGTGTAGGCGTACCCCTGGTTGGGAAACACTGCCCTAAGGGACGATGCTCTACAGGCTGGGAGCAGCTGTGCTATTTCATTAGATGAGCTGAAATCCTGCAATTTGGTATTGGATATCTAATCGACTTGTATTTTATGGTCCGTCTAGATCCACTTTCTTTGTTCTTGTTGTTTGTTTGTTTTTTACACATCGACTCTTAAGGCCAACTATAATATATATCCTGAGTTTCTTTATGATGGTTAAAAAGAACTGATCTAATGAAAGACAGCTGTTAGCCCTTTAACCTAACAACTGCTTTTGCCACCAAACAAGTTTTATCAAGAGGTTGTAACTAAAAGCCATTCATGCCATAGGGGCGGACATGTGGCTGCTTCTTATTTGAAGATTTTTCTTTCAATCTGTCATATCGGCAGAGTTTTTATACATAAACGCACTGTTTCATATTATCTATGTTAGATTAAAGTCCAACCATGTTGTGCTGGTTGAGGTTCTGTGAAGTTATATTCTGGTATTTATAATAATACTCAAGGTAGGAAGAGTATGGAGTGAATTAGGCTTGTCCCGATCCGATCCACGTATCGGATCGGACGCCGATATTGGCAAAAAAATGCGTATCGGCAAAGCATGTAAAAATGCCGATCCAGACTGCCGATCCAGTTTAAAAAAAAAAAATCCGGTCCGTATTTTCCAGTTTCGCCGATTGAAACAATCCATTCCACTATTTTGCGCCAGTGTTCCCCGAATCCGGTCCGTATTTTCCAGTTTCGCCGATTGAAACAATCCATTCCACTATTTTGCGCCAGTGTTCCCCGAATCCGGTCCGTATTTTCCAGAACACCTTCAAAACACCCACACGTCTTTTTGGGTCTGTCTCCTGGCCTAACCATTAAAACAGGTGAATTGGAAGATAGCGGGAAAATGTCAGCCGTGTGGGATTATTTTATCCTGCATGATGTGTAGATGGAGACTAGGTGTGGAGGAGATTGGGGAGTATAAGGCATTTTTGTGTAACTATTATTTGCACTGATTTTTTTTTAAGCACTATCTTTTTTCAAGAGTAGAGTCCTGATTCTAAGTTAATAGACTATTTTCCACTCTTGTCTGTTTTGCATTTTTATTAAAACTTACAGTAATATAGCACCTTTAGCTGTTTACGGTTTTACTGTTCACTGTGCAATATTAGATTGCTATTCATAATTTTGTCCAGTTTGTGTTTATCTCTTAATAAACAGGTACGTTTGTTGTTTCCAATCATTGTGTTTTATTCAATCTCACCTAATTCAGCTGGCTAGATGTTATCAAGAGTACTAAAACCCTTTTCAACATGAGTCTTACAACTAAGGCTAAATACTTTAACTTAAACTTAAATACAAGCTCGGATAGGCTAGTATCGGCCAGTATCGGTATCGAATCGAAAGTCCAAAAACAATATCGGTATCGGATCGGAAGTGCAAAAACCTGGATCGGGACATCTCTAGAGTGAATATTGTTTAATTGTTATTGCAAGCAAAGAAAAAAACAGAAATAAAAAAATGCATTTTATAAAATGAAATAAAGAAAGGCAACCTAGAGATGAAACAGGATCTTAGTGTTTTTAATCAAAAAATGGTTTGATGTTAATTTTTCTGTTTTCTCAGATTTAACTTTTTGTTGTTGTTTTTGTGTTAGTTTTTCAGATTTATTTTTTGAGATTATGTGTGCCTCATAACATTCTTTTCAAACTGTTCTTTCCAAACTCACATTCTGGATGTTAACTTTTTTCTGGAGCGAGGAAAGAGGCATAATCGCAACATGAAAAGAATGCAATTCACTAAACTTAATCTAAAAAACAAATTTAAAAAAGTGAAATGTTTTTTTTTAATAACGTTTGAACAATTTTGACATGAAAATGTAGAATCTTAAAAAAATAATAATAATAATAATTTGAAAAAAAAAAATCCAAACAATACATTTCAAAAAACAGCAAAGTTACTCTGAAAAGTAATCGTTCTTCAACATTTAAGTTCTGGATTGATTTTTATTTTTATTTCCATTTACAAAACATGTTTTTTGCTTGCAGCAATAATAAAAATAAAATTCACTCCATAGAAGAGTAAATTCACTCCAGTTTGTTGGAGGTGAACCTGCTCATCAGAGGCACAGCATCTGTTTTAGCTGCTTTTTGGAATCAGCTCAAACTGATAGTGTTCTTCATATCATTGGGATATAAAGCTTTGTTATCCTAACAGTTAACTTCATAACAGCTTGTTTTGAAGTTGAGCCTTAAAATATTTGTTAGCCTGCTCGCACACTAGGCACAAAAACACCTCATTGTCCCCCTCTCCTCTCAGATGCGTTCAGTGGATCGAGTTTTCAAATTCATCGACTTGGTGTCAGAAGAGTCGTTCCAGGGGAAACCTAGAGGTAAAGGAGGTTCTAGCCTTGTCATCAACAACCCGAACGCCTACAACCACTGGCCCAACCGGGGCCAGCTGGACGTCCAGCACCTCACTGTTAAATACACAGAAGCTGGGCGAGCCGTGCTCAACGACATCTCCTTCTCCGTGGAGGGCGGCCAGAGTGTAAGTCCTAAGCCTTTAAACTCCTACAAACTTTAACATGAAATAAAAACCAAATGAACCAAACTGCTCTTCTAGACATGTGTTACATTAAGTTTTTTTTTGTGTGTGTTTAAAGACGGACCCAGCAGACATTTCGGTCCAGTCACTGAAGTATTTAAAGGGCAAATAAAATAAAATCAAATCTGTAATAGCTGATATGATTGAAATATCATTTAGGGAAACGTAAATGATACAAAACATACCAGAAACCCAGTTTTCTGACCTAAAACTTAAAACAACTGGGGGATGATGGCTCAGGGGGGTAGGATTTCGTCCAGTCGGGTTGGACAGATGGAGGTGGGGCTGCCATATAATCAGTGCCACCCTCTGACCACCAGCAGCGAGCAAGACAGACTCGGACATAGTGTGGCTTCATCCCACAAATTCATCCATCCATCCATTTTCTGACACACTTAATCCCAAGTGGGGTCATGAGGTTTGCTGGTGCCTATCTCCAGCTGTCTACGGGCAAGAGGCGGGGTTACACCGTGGACAGGTCCCCAGTCCATCAGCAACACAGAGGCAAACAGGACAAACAACCATTCACACACTCACACCTAAAGAGAATTTTAGAGAAGCCATTTAACCTAACAGTCATGTTTTTGGACTGTGGGAGGAAGCCGGAGTACCCGGAGAGAACCCACGCATGCACAGGGAGAACATGCAAACTCAATGCAGAAAGACCACGGGCTTCATTGCAATTCAGACCATTTATTTGCCAAGAATTCACAACATGTCATCATAAGTCAATCTTGCAGGATTCGCTCCTCCTGCATGATCCTCTGGCAACAGGAGATATCTGCTTGCATTGTGTCACTGACCCTACAGCAATCCCTCGGCTCACACCAAGCATGCTTGTAGCGAAAGTGGAGAGGAAAGGCTTCCTTTAATAGCAAGAAACCTCCAGCGGATATTGCTCTGCACTTAGCACTGGATTTGCTGTTACTTTGAAATCTCCACATTTCCGTATACCCTCACCCTTTTTGGGAAGCCGTACAATGGAAGTGTCCCATTCACCAGTGGTAACTGATTCATGCATGCCATTTTTGACTAAGTTGTTTGGATTTGCCTCAACCTTTGTTTGTATTGCATATGGTACACTTCTGGCTTTCAACACTGGTATGCTGTCCAGCTTTACCTTTAGTTTTACGGTAATGTCTTTCATGTATCCCAGTTCCTCACGAAAAACCTCTTTGTGTTTCTCTATGACATCTTGTGTATTACCATGGGATATATATATATATATTTTTTTTACTTCATGCCAATTCATGCATAAGCTTTTCAACCATAAACGCCCCAAGATGGAGGCGCAACTTCCCATGGTGACATACACTGGTAGCTTTGCAGTTTGATTGTTGCACTGGACATTAACAACCATGATTCCTTTCATGTGCACTTTTTGGCTTGTGTGCGCTTTGAACACAGTCTGAGGGAGGTAGGGGAAGGTCTCTCAGGTATTTTTTTATAGGTCTGATAAGACACTAGTGATGCTCTGGACCCTGTGTCAATCTGCACCTTGACTGCATGTCCCTCCAGCTCAGGTTCTGCCCAGTACCTATCAGAACTTTCTTCTACACTCATTATATATACTGTATTTATTACAGTTGCTTCTTCCTCTGATTAAGAGCTTTTATTATACTGCACATTGTGGATATGAATTTTCTTTTTAAACTTTGTATAGTCACTTTTGTTGTCTGTAGTTTTCTTATTCCTGCTTGTTCCACATGGTCTTTTTTTTCCACAGCTCCAACAATCCATTTCCTTACACCAACATCCATATGCTAAATGTCCTGTTTTAAAACATGGGCCTTGAACGCTACTTTGGTTGCTGCCAGTAGCATTAAGTTGTTGGGCTTCTTTAGTTGCTATTTCCATTGTAACGCTGATATTGATTGCTTTTTCCAGTGTTAGGTCACTTTCAGTCAGTAACTTGTGTGGCTTCATTTCTTTCCAGTCCTTCTCTTAATGTATAATTTAAGGCATCCTTAAATTCATTGTTCAGCTAATTTCCTCAAAGCTGCAACAAAGTTTGTAACATATTCCCCTTCCTTTTGATTACGTCTGTGGAACCAGAACCTCTCGGCTATTAGGAGGGGCTTGGGGAAGAAACGCTCCATTATTTCTCCATACGTTTTACTGCCAGGCTTTGCAGGCTTTAACAGCTTTTGAAGCAGGGTAAAAGTCCATGGTGCTATCACACTTTAAAAAATTGGCACTATTTTCTCCTCCTTAATGCAATTAGCTTCCACAAAATAATCAAATCGCTCTGCATAAAAGCGCTACTGCTCCACTGATTCATAAAAGGGGCCAACTGAGCCGATAATTCCCGCCATCCCACTGCCTGCTTATGCAGCAAATGTCCACTCACTCTAGGAGAATGTGAACTTTTAATTACTCAACAGTGGGTAACACATAACTTCTCCATCAACAGTGTTGACTTCTTGACGTTTTTCTCTGGCAGTTAAAATTTCCTTAATATGTCCAACAGCAAGTGTTTTAGTCCCTGCTGGTCAGGACAATTATTCTTTTCACTCTGTTAGAATAAATTAACAAAAATCGAATATTTTATATAACTTACATGCCTATATCACCATATCCGGCCAAATAAGACATTAAGTGACATAAGATAAAACTAGGAAATGAGATACAGTATAGTGGGACAATTTAGAAAAAAGTGCAACATATGTAATACTTATTCCGGTTCTTGTTTTCTGATGTAAATCATTGACTTGCAGTCAAAGAGAAAACTGAGTATCTGTTTCCTTTGGACTTTAAGTTATGTTCTTCTGGGAATAATTATAATCATTAGGAGCTTCTCAGAATGAAACCTGGTGTGTTTCAGCACTGAAACATCCTTAATGCCCTTTCTGACCGGATATAAAGACAGCTTAACCTCCCAAAAACAACCTAAATCTCAATTAATACAGCTAAGAGCTTTCTACTCAGTATGATTGCTGGTACTACCTTCATATAACAGCGTTTTCTTTTTTTATATATGCAATGACATTTTTTTCATATCTAGAAATGGTCTTGAAAGGAAATAAATGCCAAATAAAAATAAATCTCTGCTCTGTTTCTGTTTAGGTGGGTCTTCTGGGTCGAACAGGTTCTGGGAAAAGCACGCTGCTGTCGGCTCTGCTGGGCCTCACCTACACTGACGGTGAAATGTTAATCGATGGGGTTTCTTCAAGCTCCATGCCAGTGCAAACATGGAGGAAAGCCTTCGGAGTGGTGCCGCAGGTACAAAACTCCCTCCCAGATGATTCAAAAAAGAAGTTTGTTCTTTTGTTTATTATAAAAGATAATAATAATATTAATTACAAATTTATTATAATACTGTACTTCTTCTGAAGTTGTAGTTTGTTCCAGCTCTTATTGGTGAGATTTTCTTTGTGGAAGAATTTGAAACAATATGTTCTGTGTATTGCTTAAATCTAAGAATAAATAAATGAAGGACAATTGAGAAATTCCTCAATGTTTAATATTATTACCTTAAAATAAGTGAAGCTTTTTGGAGGTAATAAATCTGTAAGTCTGGAACCACTCAAAGTCTTAAATGAAAGGAGTGGATGATTCCTGGAGTTCCTGCTTTTTGTCATCTTTTAATCCAGACACCAAATTTTCCTCCTATTTTCTTTTCAATAGAAAGTGTTTATTCTAACTGGAACTTTCCGGATGAATCTGGATCCATACGGGCGTTACAGCGATGATGAGCTCTGGAGGGTGGCTGAAGAAGTGAGGCTCTTTACTGTATAATGTTAATGATACGATGGATTACGGTTCATTTATCTTATTGTGGCTCCCTCAGAGCCAGAGTTATTTAACGTTGATCTGGTGCTGAACTTTGATGGGTCCACAGGTCGGTTTAAAGTCCGTCATCGAGCAGTTCCCAGATAAGCTGGACTTTGAGCTGAAGGACGGAGGCAGTGTGCTGAGTAACGGCCACAAACAGCTGATGTGCCTCGCCCGCTCCATCCTCAGCAAGGCCCGCATTCTGCTGCTGGACGAGCCTTCCTCCTACCTGGACCCCATGTTAGTATCCGCATCAACTCTTTTATATCAACTGCTTTCATCTGTTGTTATGTAAAAACCATTCTTCTTTTTCTACAAGTGGCTAAAGTGGCTTTTCTAGGCAAACCCAGTTGTGTTTAATGTTCCGCTGTTTTCCCATCATGACCATATGTGGATAACACTATCATATTTAATTCAAAGCATCTCCTATTTAGGCCCTTAGATGTTGATACATGCTACATTACATATTGGACCTTTAATACTCTGTTTACTTACTTTCCCCCCCCCCCGGGATCAACATCCTATCATCCATCCATCCTATCAATTTGCAGTTGAAAACAAAACATCTCGCTTTCACCAGAAATGTGGGAAAGTTTATTGTTGTGTTCTAATGAGGATTTGATTAATTTTCAATATGAATACAGAAAAACATCAGTGTTGTGATTCTGACATTTAGGAGTTTGACTTAATCTGGACTCCTTTTACTTTAAATATATGATGGTTTTAGAGAAACTTCAAAGCCGATTGAACAGCTCTTTAGTTTTAGTTTTAAAGATATTCTGATGATGACCAATCTTTGCCAGCCAGCGTGGATTTCACATCGTCTCCAGGCGTTTAGCTGATTTAATCTGAAGCTAGGCTACTGTCTCAAGCTATAGCTGATATTGGGAAAAGAGGTGATTTTTTGTGTGTCTTTTAGAGAGGAGCCACTATTAAAATAAAAAAAAAACAAAAGAAAAATATTCAAAACAAATACAAAACAAGGGGTAGTGTTATTTAGCATGTTGTCTTAGAGATTCACCTGCTGCACCTCCATTATATGAGACTGGGAATTTAGGGGGAAACCCAGATATATTGCTCAGTAACACTCTCACCACTTCCTGGTTTGCGTACGCCTTGGAATGAGAAGTCTTTGAATATATATGCAATTAGAGATCATTTTAGTAAATTCAATTTGTGTAAATTTAAAACCATAAATCTCATGACACTTGACTTGCAAGACTCTATCTTCCTTGGTGAGGATGTGGTGACGGTGGAGAGTCACTTGCATTTTGTCATTGACTTAACAGCAACTCAATTAAATTCTGTTTATTTATAGCACCGATTCAAAACACATGTCACATTAAAGGCACTTTAAAGAGATAATTCAACCAGATCATACGGTCAGATTGGTTCAAAGTTTTCTATCTAAGAAAAACCAGCTGATTGCATCGACTCATTTACTTGAAAGCAATCCCACGCACTGATCATGCTTGTAGCAACAGTGGAGAGGAAGAACTCCTTTTTAACAGCAGAGCCAGGCTCAGTGCGAGCGGCCTTCATGCAGAGGGCGGTTCTGGGGTTCAAGGAGACAGAAGTAGACATACAGAAAGAAACAGAGATACAAAACATAACTGTCAACCAGCTCCACAGGTGGTCCTGTCCAGGAAACACCCAGACATATGAGCTCTGAGCCAGCCCTCCATGACGGAGAATGAAAGAGAGAACATACAGTTAGTCAGGATAAAAGCTGAGCTCATAGCTATGCCTTGGAGAGAAACAGGCCTAAGCAAAGAAAATTATAATCTAAAGGGCTGAACAGATATTCCTCTCCAATCCCTCCTAACCTGACACTTTCCATGTGGGGGAGAAATAGAGGTTTAGCTGCAGAAGTAACTCCTGCAGTGGCTTCATGTGGGAGAGAAACACAGCTGAGGATGAGGTCAAGCCTAGAAGATGATGGAGAGCACCTCCAGTTAGTCACAGTAAAAGCTCAGCCAATCGCTGTAAGAGAGTGAGATGGTTAACCAGTGAAAGACAGGACCAAGTAGATGAAGATGTGGATGGTAGCTTGCCCACTAAAGCCCCCCCATCCAAGAGGGTTTCACAGCTAAAAAGATGGAGCTATGGAGAGAGAGAACATAAAGCTAAAAGTTGATGTAGAAACTGATCAAATGCCTGAATCACCTAAACTGAGGACCACTCAGGACCACAGACGGAGCAGTAAGTCAAGAGTTCTGGTTCGTGACTCAGCACTTTCTACATAGTTGCAGACTGAAGCAGTTCTGCTTCCTTCTGCCTGTCTGTTCGTCGCCTAATAACTCAGAACACAAGTTTAGCCGTTTGACGTATAATTAAACCATTCCTGCCGATGAGCAGCTTCCCTCTGCACACCGTGGCGTTTGATCGCTTACAGGAAGCAGTCGCTCTCTGAAAGTCATTAAAAGTTTGTGTATTTTCTTGTGCTTGTGGCATCCTGCAGGATGAGGTCAGAGTGTAACACAGACCATGCGCGTCCGCCTCGTGAGCCGTTCCTGTCACTGCATATGGTGGCAATCTGGTGTGCTTACAGTAATGTTGGAGCCACCATGCAAGCAGAAACTGAACATGGGGGGAAATTAAGCTTAATATGAGCGATCTATGAGAAAGGCTTTCCTGCAGGTTGAACCGATCTGTTTGATGAAGATCATGATGATGATTTGTGTGTTTGCAGAACACTGCAGGTCCTGAGGAAGACGCTGAAGCAGTCGTTTTCCGGTTGCACCGTCATCCTATCAGAACACAAAGTGGAGCCGCTGTTGGAGTGTCAGTCCTTCCTGGTGAGTTCGAGGGAACCCAGATTCGACATCGGATGCTTTTCCATGAATTTCATCTGACCTTGGTTAATAAGTGCTGCAAAGTGAAAGTGTCTTCATTGATGTTGTGAGTTTAGACGTGTTTGTTGGCATGTTTATGATGAGGGCTCAACAAGTTGCTGGCGTGACTGTAACATGTGACAGGTGTGCCGGGTTGCATAGGAGAGCGGCGGGGCAAAAGAGAAATGGTCGATCTGTTTAAACGTTCCATTTAGTTCTCGCCTACCCTTTTTCATACAGATGATTGAGAAGAACGGCGTCAAAAGCTACGAGTCCATTCAGAAACTCATGAACGAAATGAGCCATCTGAAACAGGCCATCAGCCCGGCCGACAGGCTCCGCCTCTTCCCCACGCCCCACCGCCTGAATTCCATCAAGAGACCGCAGCCGCAGACCACCAAGATCTCCTCCCTGCCTGAAGAAGCTGAGGATGAAATCCACGACACTCGACTTTAAGAAGGAAGCAAGACTTTGATGAAGCTCTTAATCAATCATAAGCTGGTCTACGGCTGTTCCAGTGGATTTCTAATGAATCGGTTTTAATAAAATCCAATTTAAGAAGAGCAAAGGAAACAAAACCAAAACATTTCTTTTTACATTTTTTTAATTAAACATTTAAATAGTATATTTTTACTAGTTATATACATTTTTCTTTGTGTCTCTTTGCAGATGATTCTTGCACCCTTTGAAAATGAACACAAAACATTAGGCAGAACAGTTTTCCTCAAAGAACTGTGAGAGAAAAAAACTAAAGACTCAGATTTTTCTCAGAATTTCTTATAATTCTAAATAAATGTGTTAAACTTATGTTATATTTCTTAACGCTTTCAATCAATAATCCATCTCTCCTCATCCAAAAATTGACCACGGCTGGAAATAGTTCTTTGTTTTGATTTTTTAAAATAATTTGCAGAAACGTCTGCTTAGTTCCTGCATTAAATCCAGCCTAAATGTCTTTGAGAGATAAAGAGAATCAGAACCGTTCTGAAATAGAAATTTCCCCTCTTAGCATCGTACCAAACAAGGTTAGAAAACCTGCATTCATGCATGAAGCAAACATACAGCAGGGAGGGATTCAAGCTTCTGACCCAATCAGGAGTTTCTCTTTAAAAAAAAAAAAAAAAACTGGATCATGGCTCCTCCAGCTGTTCTACTGTTTTTCCTTAAAAACAAACATTTTTAGGTCTTTTAGTTTTAATTTCTCTCCCCAGTTTTACTCAGTTGGAATCTCTTTGATTCGCTCATAGAAATTTAAGTTTTTTAACATGATATCTTTTAACTCAGTGAGAATTTAACAGCCACCTGTTTTATACCACAAAATGCAGCTAGAAATAAAAAAAAAGAAGCAAAAAAGCATATTTTAACAAAGTCTTATTATCTTAGATGTAGCCAAATACTGTTTTTGATCTTGTTTTAAATTTGAGCAAGGTTGCTGTTACATTTCATCGGGTCTACATTTGAGAATGGCAACGTCTATAACGAGCAAGTAATGTCAAAGGTTCTAGCTGCTGCCCCCTAGAAAGGAGGGAACCAAATCTGATTGGCTCATAAATCTTTCTGTTATTTTACGTTGCCTTAAAGTTTTGCACTAATGGATCAGAAAGTCACATTTATCTGGTTACTTATAGCCTCATTCAGTCACATTCAACTGCTCACTTTGGTCTTAACTTTCCTCCTTCTGGTCTTTAAAATCATAAGCAAATCCAGCAGGTCCTTGCAGACCCCTTCAAAATGTGATTTCTAGCTAATAAAATGTGAGAAAAGCGGCTCTGCTTCCCTGTTTAAACGCTGCGTCACCTCTTGTGTTTTACACAGAACTGTTTTCTGATTGTGTGCGTCAGGACCTTCAATTAATCAACTGAGCTGATAGGTGGCCTCTCTGCTGTCAGCACACACACACCATCATGGCATGACGTTGTTGACTGATGCAAGGAATGAGCGATGACTCAAGCACCCCTATTTTTCTATTTGTATGCACTTTACAGACACCCTGAGGTACTCTCATCGGGAAGAAATGGGTCAGGTGGTTCAGTTCTGCACAGAATCAAATCTTTGAAGTTATTCTAACCTTAAGGTGTGAGCGTGCGCTATTAGCCAGTGTGTCCAGGCTGTTGTTCGGGTTTTTTCAGGAGAAAACAATCATTCTCTGTTTGCTTCGTGGTTGGATTCTCTTTAAAATCCAGCCAGAGTATTCCTGAAGCAGTAAGGTACCGCAGAAAGGAGACTCCTGATAAATGTCTTTTGTTGTTTTATATTGTAAATTAAAAAAACAAAACTTTTTATTATTCGTAGGAAATGGACACAAATGTCCAAATAACTGTTTGTGCTTTTGTTCAATCGGCTGTATTTGGAGTAAAATTAAATTGAATAATTTCTCAGTGGTTGTGTCTTTTATTTATTTTTTTTTTTTGTGGGGTTCAACTGTTCAACCTCAGACTGTTAATTTTTTCTTTTCTTTACATTATTACATAATTGCGTTTAACAGCAAATTGACCTTAATAGATTTTCTGGAAATATTTGGTGAATTAAACAAAGTGAAAACGCACAGAATAACTTCTCCTGTCGGCTCCTTAAAGTTATATCAAGTCTGCTGAAGATGATGAGCCAATCATGATTATTATCAGGAAGCTAAACGACTTCTGTTCACTACAGAAAGGGTTTTCAAAGAATGAAATTCCTAAATAAGAGTCAATGGCAGTCCTTCAAGTGCTGTGTGTATATATATATATATATATATATACACACACACACACACACGCTGGAAAAAATTAATATCTAGATAAGTCATATTTTCTTAAAATAAGTGCATTTGTTCCCCGATTAAGGAGGAAAAAGAGACATTTTGCCAATGGATCAAGACAATTTACACTTAAAATAAGAAAACACAATTGCATTGTCTTATTTCAAGCGCATATTATCTAATTATCTTATTTTAAAAGAAAAAATACTCATTCCATTGGTAAACTGTCTCATTTACCTACTCAAATTAAGGGTAAATAAATCCAGTGTAGGCATTTCTAAATTATCTTTCCACTGGTAAATAATACCTGCTAAAAACACCCCTCCAAAATATTTTTTCAAGAAATTTACTTATGCATTTCTAGATACGTTTTTCATTGTAGTTGAAACCAGAAAAACCTGGTGTTGATTCACCGCAAAAGCTGTTACAAAAGTAAATTACAAATCTTAAAATAAATGCATTTTCCCTTCATTTGAGCTGGTAAAAAGATTATCTGCTAATGTTTGCCTTTAAAGTGAAAATAATTAGATAATATGCACTCCATATAAGATTGGGCAGATGTTCAGATTTTAAACATGAACGATTTTATTCCATTGGCAAATTGACTTACCTCCTTAACAAAAAGGGAAATACACCTATTGCAAAGAACACAGCCTACTGTATAGCCTTAGAGTACTTCTTTCCCATTTAATACAGTTTTACAGACAAACAGAATCATATTAAACATGTGCACCATAAATCTGATACTGTGGAGACAAATTTACAGCACAGGTCTGGAAAAATAAGAACAAAAGAAAAAAAAAAGTCAAATAAGTTGAAAATATTGCTTTAGATCTTTATGATTAAATAAATTAATTACACTTTACCATAGCCAATAGTTTCTAAAAATTTTTGGTGAATTTCAAAAAATTTTTCTGAAAATTACTATTTACCTTTGGAGTAGGTAAATAGACAATCTGCCAGTGGAATTATTAGTTCCAGTTTTAGTCCATGAGGCACCCTTGACTACTTTTAAGGCTAGGCTTAAAACTTTCCTTTTTGACAAAGCTTGTAGTTGGAGTTGCTCAGGTTATCCTGATCTATCTCTCTAGTTATGCTGTTATAGGCTTAGACTGTTGGAGGACATAGGGACCCCTTTTCATCATTCTATCTTTATTCTCCCTTTCTGCATTATTTGTTAGTTCAATCTCTAACATTTTGTCTTCTCTGCTTTTTCTCATAGTTTCATTTGGTCTGTTCCTGTTTGGCTGTTACACCATCCTGGAGAGAAATATCAGCTGTGCTGCTGCCATCAAAACCTTTGCTTACAGATGTTGGAGCTTGGCCTGTTTTTCATCTTAGTCCTGTTTCTCTGACTGTGACTAACTGCATGTGCCCTCTTTTATCCTCTGACATAGGAGCTGGCTTGGAGCTCTTCTGCCTGGCTGTGTTGTTTACCGGACGGGGATTCCTGTGGAGCTGGTTACTTGTTGCATCTCTGCATCTTTTTCTGTCTGCTTCTGTCTCCTTGAACCCCAGTTGGCCTCAGCAGATGGCCGCTCATGCTATGCCTGCGTCTGCTGGAGGTTTCTTCCTGTTAAAAGGGAGTTTTTCCTCTCCACTGTCGCTACAAGCAGGCTTAGTGTGAGGAATTGCCTTTGAGTCGATGGCAGCTAGTTTTCCTTAGATAGAAAACTTTGAATCATTTTGACAGTTCGATCTGATTGGATTGTATCTGTAATATGCTTTGAGATGACGTGTTGTGAATTGGCGCTATATAAACATACTAAATTAAATAGTTTTACAGTTAAAATAAGATAACTAGATATTTTGCACTTGAAGAGACTGCAGTTGTTTTTTTCTTTATCAAAAACTTTCATTTCTTATAAAGCTCTTAAGAGTGGCTCAGGTTATCCTGAGCCATCTATATTGATGTGATGCATGGATTGGATGCAGCTGGAAAACCCATTCCATTAAGCTCTCTGCTCTTAAGCTAATCTGAGAGCCACATGAAGTTTGAGGTGTGTACTGAAGTAACTGACTAAAGAAAATCGCAGAACTCTTCGCAGTACGCTCCTCAGCATCGTCTGATCCCGCGAAGTCAGGTTATGTGCCCTACCGCTTCGTGGCTCTAAATACTAAACATTCCAATTTTCTTATGTTACAGCTGACTATGGAATATTTTGATGGAATTTTAACAACAGGATTTGTTGCACAGGTGGCTTCTTGTCACAGTCCCACTGGACTTCCCTCCCTCCTGGGAGAGAACCATTCTTTTTCATAAATGTTTATAACAAAGGTCTGCATAACAAGGTAATTGATTTTACACACCTGTGCCCATGGAAGAGGTTAAATACTTTAGCAATAAAATGAACATAAATATATCAAATTTAATTGAAACCAACACTGCACATAAACCTGGAGATAGAATTCCAGGGGCAAAACACGGTGGTGATGGTATCATGCTGTGGCCTTTATTTTCTTCACCAATCAGAAATCATTTGCAATAAAAAAAACAAAAACAACATGAATCCAGGGAAACATTTGGCATTTAAAAGATTTATTATGGCTTAAAACTGACAGAGGACATCCTGTGTTTATACAGTTCTATTACTTATTGCCACATCCCATTCACTTTGAAACAAGTGGAGGGTTTAAAACCAAACTCATCTCTACAAACACTTATGTACAAGGTTTAGTGTTCATTTTTTTATTTTTTCCTCAGCAGTTTCTTTTAAGTTTTCATCACTGTACAAGCGTAATACCACATAAAGTACACCAATCTATAGAGCATTTCGACTTACTCTTATTTACAAATATATTTGGTAAAACCCTGATTAATTTTAAACAGTATTTAAACCAACCTCGCGACTTTCTGGAGATAAAACACTTAAGGATTTCAAAATACTTCATAGCAAAAAAAAAAAAAAAAAACAAGAAAGAGAAGAAAAGAAAAGCCTGATTGTTTCCGTTGGATTTCTGCAGGGACCTTATTTCCTATGGAAGTACACTAGTTTTTTTTAAGAACACCGAAGGACTTGAAGGAGTGTTTCGGAGGCAGTTTCTGACATATTAACACTTCATAAAGCGTCTCTTCTTCCACTGGAGCTGAATACAGGCTGAAAACACTGGAATTAAGGCAACAGAGAGAGACAACCTGCTGCTTAAGCTCGTCTTCTTTATCTTTACAGTGTTTTCCTTCCTACTTATACGCATAATTCAAATACTGTAGTAGAATAAACTATGGTCCCCAAGTACACAACTGCAGTACAGTGTAATAAGTACAGATAAGTACAAGTCAACGGTCATCAGGTACCTAGTCTTTACATTGAGATGGAGGAGATGGGACAGGGGTGGGCGATGGGGGGGGTCTACTCGCTGTTGCTCTGGTGCAGATCTCTGTGGAGAATCCAGATATCTTCTCGTGAGCGGCTGCGGTCGTTCAAATGGTTGCGGTAGTAGTTGTTGTTGCTGTTGCTCGGGGGACCTTGCTTTGTTCTGCTACTGGCTGCAGTTCTGCTGACATTGGGGGGTGTCTGGGTTTGGTTGTTGTTAGTGTTGCTGCTGCAAGTCGGGGATGCTCGCGTCTGCTGCCCCCTGCTGCTTGGCACGGGGAGCTGCGACCTAGCGCGAGGGCCCGGACGACGGCTGATGCTCTGAAGGGCTGGCTGGTCGGAGCTGTGGCCCGGCTCACTGACGGCGTTCTGCAGGACAGGACACAGAACCAGATGTTGTGCAATAAGCCATGATATTAACATTGGTGGAGTTAAGTGCTTTGCTCTACTTTCTGAACTAAGAACCCCTAAGGAGGAGCTGCAGCACTCGCATACCCCTTTCCCTCATGCCGAAAAACCTGTTTAAACCAGAAAATAATTGGCTTTTAGTGGCAGTCGGAACAGCTCACTGACGTGTGTCTACCGGGGTCAGATGACTCGGCAAGGGACCAGAGTTTAAAATCGCCCTGGCTCTGATCGGCATGCTGTAGGAACACCGAAACCAAAGTTTACCCGCTAAATTACGTGACACCATTGAACACAACACACAGATGTCAACACATCGCGCTAGTTGCTTCTGATCCAACAGGTCGAAACAACTCTGTCTACATTTGATAAGACGCAGCGCTGATGATAGGGATTCAGACAGATAAAAGAGGGAAATAATAAAGATTACTGACTATCCTCTGGCTCCCGTCCATGTTGCTCTCCATTATTTACTTCACAGATTTCCATTGCACTGTTGACATCATCAACGCTCACCCAGTGTGATGGCGTCACCAGACACGCAGCTGCAGGGGGACAGAGGCCATGGAGCTTGCCAGCTAGCTGTTAGACCTGGCTTTTCGGTCAAATGGGAAAAGAGCCAAAAGCCAATTGTTTGTGGGTTACCCTGGTTTTGAAAACCCGGGTTTTTGTGTGAATGCGGCTCCAGAGACACATTGTTTATTTTCTCTCACTATTTCATCGAGAGGTTTAGATTATTTTATCTGACAGCTCAACTACAGCTCATTTATAAAATATGACCTATCAGGATCCATCCTGTTAAAAGAATCAGGATCAAGAGTAACCGGAACCAGAACGAGGGACTGGAATCAGAAAGAGCCCACCCAGAACATTTCAGAATATTGGTAAATCCCCATCATTCCTAGAAATGCTGATCATCAGAGGTTAAAGGTCTGGGAAAAGATGGGGTAAGAATTTACAATTAAACAATTTAGTTGTTTTTTTTTTTTTTCAAGATTTGCGATCATCTCAAGCGTTTTACTGTTGAGTAAAGTTTTCTAACAGAAGCTAATATCAACTGCACGTGGTCACCCTGATTGTAAGATATTTTGATCTTCTGTTTGTAAAGACTTTACCTCAGTAAGTGTTTCAATACTTTGACATTTATGTGTTTCCTGATACACTCAAGATGTTTGATATCTAAATCTGACCAAAGTCCTTTAAAATGGGTCCCATTGTGTCTGGAGCTATTAGCTTCATAAAACAAAACTAGCTAAGGGAGCTAAAAAAGAACCCTAACCCTAATTATTCCAATCTTTTTCTTAGCTGTAAGGTCGGCACCTCTGACTATAGCGAGGCCTTTGACACCGCGGCCCCTGAATGTACGTCTGTGTTTTTTGTCTTTTCCTGGATGGGCTGTAATAAAAAAAAAAAATTGTCCATGCTGCTCCAGGATGGGTGACAAATAAAGTAAACAGTGAACCATTAAGAAACAATTATCTAAACTGTTTACTACTTTAATAAAATGTTTTTTCAACTTATAATGTTTTATTTACCTCCAAGGATTTGGATTGTGAATTGGTTTGAACACATTCAAATTGTTCTAAATTAGTTTAAAAGCTAATTGGACTTAATTCCAAAAATACACTTTGGTTTCCAAAGTATAAAACTTTAGGAAACCAAGGAATCATTGTTCCTTTAATTCAGAATCATGTAATACTTTGTGTTGGTTGCATCTCATGAAACGTGCCGACCTTCGAGGTCATCTCCGGAAGGATCATTAAAACGAAAAAGGAATTTTTTTCAGTATCTCTGGACAAAAAAACACTGAGAATGTTCTCCCCCACCTCTGGTTGCTGCTGGACAGCAGTTTCCTGGTTGGACTCCTGGGCAGGCGGCGCCATACTGGGAGTGCTGGGAAAATGGATCAGGTTGTCTTTGGCCTCAGAGATCTATGGGGGAGACAAGAGAGCAGAAGGATCATCCCACGGCTGCAGCTGCGTGTCGAAACCAGCATAAAAAGCAACAGAACAGCTGATTAATGCAGATAATCAGGATCCAGTGGAAGTTTAATAACATCTGAAACAAGTCAGTAACTATTCAGCAATATCTAAGCCTCAACAATTAAAAATGTAAAAAACGAGGCAAGTGGACTTCCTGTTGAGTGTGCAGAATTAAGCGGCAGTGATTCATCTTCCCTTGCTGATATCTGACACAGTTAATCACATACGCCTCTCTCCTACATCATGTTACCAGAACAGGAGCTCATTAAACATTAATGTCAGCAGAGTGCCTCTATATTTAGAGTCCAACCACCATTTTCACTCTAAAACTTTTAAAAACATTGATTATTAACAAAGAATTACTAACAGAACATGTGACTGACCAAAGTTCACCTTAAAATATGCATCAGAAAAGCAAGGATTGAATGAAAATACCTAAAAACTGGTCTAAACTGAGACAATTACATTGTTTTTTTTCTGGTCATTTTAAACTAATGTTGCCTTTTATAGACCAGGTATTTTGGCATCTTTAATTAGAATCAAAATAACTTTATTTCTCAACCAGCAGCCGTGATTGGTCTCTGAATTGGACAATCAGGGAGTCAAATAAACATCTTTGTGTCCCTTTTGTCTCTGAGCAACAAGCTATCCCCAAACTGCTTCCACTACCCAGGACTCTCCCTGGAGACATTAGAGAGACTGAAATATAAGCAATTGTAAACATTTGCATGATTTTTTTTACAGACTAAAGCGTGAACCTTTGTTTTTGCTTTTTCCTTTCTACCCATAAATCTGACGCACAAGCAGCATCACAGGTAATCAAGTTTAAAACCATCTCATGTTTCAGCTGCACAGATGTTCAAAGAGTTAACATCACCGTCGCACTAAATCAGCTTGCAACATGGATTGTTTGTTTTAGTAACTTGCTTAAGGAGAAAAAGTGTCTTCAATGGTTTATATGATTTAATGCACTAAATAGGGCAATGCTTTATATAAGCACAGCTCTACTACTGTAGTTCTGTTGTCAGTTTTAGAAATGGAACTTAAAAGAAGTATTTTATGGCTTGCTGTTAAATATCTTTTACCATATTGAATAGAAGGAATTGTGCTATTATTAATGTTTATGTACTGCTTGCTCTTCTATTGAGGTAGTTTTTCTAATAAGTTGCATAAAATATAAGGGGTTTCTAAGAGAAA